GATGAAAATGACCCACCTTGGGCTTGGTAGCATAACTTCCTTTCCACTAGGCCAACAAAACTCTCTATTGGTCGTTGTTGTTGTTGTAGTTGTTTGGTGCCGTTGAGTCGTAGACAACTCATAGCGACCCTTTGGGCCTAAGGTCGCCTCCTGGTTCAAACCCTAGGCCCAAGCTGGCTAGCCTCGCTCCCAGGGACAGAGCAAACCTGCATGTAACAAACACATGCCCAGAAAAGCAGTCAACTCCAAAAGCTTGCCACAATTCCTGCACTCACACCACCATGCTCCTTCTGGCAAGAAGAACTTCCCAAGACAAAAAAAGAAGTCCTGGCCCAGATGGCTTCATGTCTGAATTCTACCATACATTCAGAGATCTACCACCAATTAATTGTTCTTATTTTTTAAAAAATAGAAAAGAAAGAATACTTCCAGAGTCATTCTAGAAATCAAGCATAACTTTAATGCCAAAACCAGGCAAAGACATTACCAAAAAAGAAGACTGCAGACAAATATTTCTCATGAATACAGATGCAAAATCCTCAACAAGACAAGAGAGTCTCAACAGCATGTCTAAAAAATAATTCACTAAGTGGAATGAACATAAGAAAAACAATCAACGAAATTGATCACATTAACAAAGCAAGGGGGGGGGCACATGATTCTATCAATTGATACAGAAAAGGCCTTTGACAAAATCCAACTCCCTTTCTGTATTAAAACGCTCAGGAAAATAGGAACAGAAAGGAATTTCTTGAACACAGTGAAAAGCAAATATGCGAAATGAAGAAACTAGATCATTCTCGATGGAGAAAGACTAAAGATTACCACTCCCATTCAATATTGTATTGGAAATACTTGCCTGAGCAATTTGAGAAGAGAAGGAAATAAGGGGCATCTCTATTTGCAAAGAAGTCATAAAACTGCTGCTATATGCAGAGAATATGATAGTGTACACAGAAAACACCAAGGACTTAACAAAACACCTGTTAAACCTAATAGACCAATTTAATAAATTGGCAAGATATAAGATCAGTATACAAAAATTCGTAGGATCCCTCTACAGTTAATAAATTGGCAAGATATAAGATCAATATACAAAAATTCGTAGGATCCCTCTACAGTAAAACAAATACCATAAAAAAACCCACAAAATAAGGAAATTAAGAAAGTAATATCATTTACAGTGTTGTTATTTACCCTCGAGTCAGAACTGACCCATAGTTGACCCTCTGCTGGGTTTTCAGAGACAGGGGAGGAGATTGCCCAACTTTCTCCCAAATTGAGAAACCTGGGAAAGCCTAACAAAGATTAAAGCAACTAAGAAAGTAATATTTACAGTGTTGTTATTTACCCTTGAGTCAGAACTGACCCATAGTTGACCTTCCGGTGGGTTCTCAAAGACAAATGAGGAG